TGAATTACATTGGCAAAGATCTTGTTGATTTGATGAAGTCAAGAATGAAGTCAAAGGCAACTTTGTGGCGGTCAAAAGTCACTTAGATAAAAGAGTAGAGGGATTAGTGTGTCTACAGCTTCTGTTAGGTATAATCATTTTTATCTTTTCTGCTGCATGAGGTTTCTTCACTTAAAAGATTTTGCAAAATGCTTCTAAAAACGTTTAAACAGTTAAAAACAAAGTATTTTGATAAAAGCTTTTGAATTAACTATTTTCAACTAATAGCATATATGTTCTATCAACTAAAATGTTCTTCACATTTTTATAAACAAAATTTTAACTGATATAATTTTGAAATAACCGATTGTTTTCATTAAATAAAGTTTTGAAAACCTTCTGTCAGTATTTTAACTGATACAGCATCGAAATAATCGATTAAAATCACTTAAAATGTTTAGAGAAGTGTTTTGGCAGTATTTTAATCGATACAACTTCGTTTTAATCGATTAATTTCATTTGGTATACTATATGACCGATCAGAATCAGATATGATCGATCAGAATTTAGTTATGACCGATCAGAATTATTTCAATTGATTAAATTACGTTTCAATCGATTAAATCAACTTAAGAAAATTTATACTACGCGTTTTAATCGATTAATACGATCTTTTATGAGTTAAAATCACTTGAAAAAGTTTATAAGAATATCTTGCAGTATTTTCATCGATTGAAAGTCGAAACAATCGATTTAAAAAGATTAGAAGATTTTTTGAAAAGAGTTTTAATTGATATAAACGTTGTCGTATCAGTTAAAACAAATCTGGAAAATAATCAAGAATGTTTTAGTGGATTAAAAAAATATTTAACAGATTAAAACAAGTCTTTTAACAGATTAAAAGATTATTTTAACAGATTCATTAAACCAACAGTTTTGAAAAATCTTCTATATAAACAGATTGCTTGAACTTTTTTAAACACATCTTTTACATATCTGATACACATCTTTTTGCAATCAATCAAGCAATCAAAAGTACTATTTTCAAGAAAGAATCACGCTTGTTTTTGTGAAGTTCATCAAAGTTCTTTCTTGAGGCAAAATTGCATTTCTTTGGAGAAGAAACACATATTGCAGAATTGCATAAAACTGGTTTGAGCATTTTAGTTTCTTCTGTTTGTTTCTTTACATTCTTTTCTGTATTATTGGTGCCTGGAATTGTGGGCACTGGTTTCTCTGCAGCTGGAATTTGGTTGTAGAGGTTGTCAAGAACTAGATTTTGGTTCTTGGTGAAAGGTTAGGTGCAGGAACTGGAATTGTGGTTCTTGTGGTAGATTGAGTGTAAGGTTAAGGTTGTAATCTGTAAAACATTCAATCTAGTGGAACCCAGCTGGAATTTGGCTGGAGACTGGACGTAGCCCTGGGATTGGGTGAACCAGTAATCGATTGAAAGTCGAAACAATTGATTTAAACAGATTAGAAGATTTTTTGAAAAGAGTTTTAATTGATATAAATGTTGTCGTATCAGTTAAAACAAATCTGGAAAATAATCAAGAATGTTTTAATGGATTAAAAGAAGATTTAACAGATTAAAACAAGTCTTTTAACAGATTAAAAGATTATTTTAACAGATTAATTAAACCAGCAGTTTTGAAAAATCTTCTATATAAACAGATTGCTTGAACTTTTTTAAACACATCTTTTACATATCTGATACACATCTTTTTGCAATTAATGAAGCAATCAAATGTACTATTTTCAAGAAAGAATCACGCTTGTTTTTGTGAAGTTCATCAAAGTTCTTTCTTGAGGCAAAATTGCATTTCTTTGGAGAAGAAACACATATTGCAGAATTGCATAAAATTGGTTTGAGCATTTTAGTTTCTTCTGTTTGTTTCTTTACATTCTTTTCTGTATTGTTGGTGCCTGGAATTGTGGGCACTGGTTTCTCTGCAGCTGGAATTTGGTTGTAGAGGTTGTCAAGAACTAGAATTTGGTTCTTGGTGAAAGGTTAGGTGCAGGAACTGGAATTGTGGTTCTTGTGGTAGATTGAGTGTACGGTTAAAGTTGTAATCTGTAAAACATTCAATCTAATGGAACCCAGCTGGAATTTTGCTGGAGACTGGACGTAGCCCTGGGATTGGGTGAACCAGTATAAACCTTAGTGATATCTTTCTAAACCTTTCTTCTCTTTAATTCTGTTGCTGCATTTATTTTTTGATTGCTTGCTGTGTGATTCAAGAACAGATCTGAAATCTTAATTTTTGAAATAGATAATCTGTTAATTGCGAAAATCTTTCAAAGATCAATTCACCCCCCTCTTGATCTCAGCCTCTTTTTCTAACATGCTAGAATTCCCTAAAAACAAAAAAGGAACCTAGACAAAAGATAGGGCCAAAACACAATATCCTAGTTCGAAAACCCAAAGGGCGATCTAGGGAAATCAATTAGCCATAGAAAAGCAATGGAAATAAAACTAAGGCGCGGATACAAAAAAGGGGGGGGAAACGCTTGCTTAGACAAAAAACTTAAACACCTAAGCCTAACTCGGCCAGCCGTTCTTACAAAACCCCTTTCTAAATAAAACAAACCTTCTAAAACACAAGCCATTGAATTTACCCCTTTACTTCTCTTTTCTTGACCCTCACAACAATATTCTAATAATTAATTTGGGAATATGGAGGCGTATAGTCAACAAGAGGATTGAAACCCCTAGAATGGAGAAAAAGGGACACTGCATGGCAAGGAGTGCTTTCCAAGAGAGAAAAAGGAAAAACAAGCTACCCTTTGGTCATAAGAAGTCTGGCATGGTACAACCAAACACAAAAACCCAAATCAGAGGACATCCAGCGCTATAAGACACGTTAGATAAATCCTTCTGAAAAACTAATTGAAATAGGCATTATAGGACATCAAACATAAAAACATTGCATGCATAAAATGTTTTGGAACCAGGTCCTATTTGCTTTTAACAAAAAAAAAAAAAAAAGAAAGCCCCGAAATTCGAGACGGTCGTCCGAAATTCCCAGACCCCCGTCTCGGTCTCCAAGCAAAACGAGACCACCGTCTCGATCATCGAGACCATCGTCTCGACTTTGCTGAAAATGAGACCGCCGTCCCACTTGGCGAGATGGCCGTCTCGTTTAAGGCCAAAGTCGAGACCACCGTCTCGACTTCCCAGACGGCCGTCTCAACTTACACAAAAACAAGACCGCATCTCGACTTCCCAGACGGCGGTCCCGAATCCAACTTTTCCCCTATAAATAGGGGAGGCGTCTTGGAGCTCCTCATAACTCTCTAGCACTCCAACTCTCAGATCTATCACTTCCAAGCACCTTCTTCACAAAATGTTCCGTGGAAGTCAGTCAAGGAAGAGAAGAGGACCTGCTGGCCCTAGCAGTTCCTCAGCGCCTGCTCCTCAAGACCCTGCACGGCTCTCACCGCTACACCAGGCTCACCTAGAGCACATCAGGGGATACACATGGCACCCCATGCTCAAGTTAGACTTCGGCATCCTCGCCGAATTTGGATGGGAGGACGACGTCCGGGCCAACATCGACAACATCGGATGGGGCTTCCTCCTGCAGACTCCTCCCACCCATGTGTACCCTCAAGCAGTGATGGAGTTCCTGGCCTCCATCTCCTACGCCGAAACTCCCGCCATGATCCCAGGCCTTTCACCGACAAAGATGGTGACATACTTTATGGGTGGGATGTATCGTACCACCACCCTGGACGAATTCAACGTGTCCATTGGATTTGTCCGGCCCGAAGACGTGCTGACCCGGGAGTACCAGGAGGCCATCTGCGCACGCCCCACCAACCTCACCAGGGGCTCCCACTCTACCCACGCTAATGAAGGGCTCAACACTCCCCCCGACCCTCCGCATTTGCCACAAGCTGCTGGCGGGGACCATCCACGGCAGGAACGAGAGTCAGGCCCTAACGCAGATGAAATTATATTTCTAGCACTAACATCAAATTGAGCTTTTCTATTTTCCTACACCGTCCATCTAGAAAATGGTTTTGGAATATCTACTCCGTTTTCAGAAATTTTAGGAATATAGGGACCGTTTAAAATTGCGTCCCAAACACCTCTATCAACAAACTCTAAAAAGATTTTCATTCTAACTTTCCATAAAGGATAATTTTGACCTGCAAAAAGTGGGAGTCTATTGATAGAAGCACCCTCGGTAAACGTTTGATTTTGTCCGGCCATTTTTGAAAAATTGAATGACTATCAAATCAAGCTCTGATACCACTTGTTAGAATCGCGCAGCGGAATGTTTGCATTTCCGGACAAAAACCAAGAGGGGGGTGAATTGGTTTCTTAACAAAAATTAGGGTTTTAAAAATTTCTCCAAATTTTATCGATTAAAATGTTGTGTAAAGTAAATAGAGTAAGGATAGAGACTTCCACAGATGATTTATACTGGTTCGGATCAAAAGACCTTACGTCCAGGTTCTAATCACTCAAACAGAGGATTAACGTTGTCACTATTATCACAGTTTTACAAACAGATAACAATTGAAAAGATAAGGTAATGAAAACACCTCTCTTGAGTCACACAAGAGATGAAGAAAAACTTTCCCTAGAGACGGCACAATACATAATCCACCAAGAAAACCCACTTAGTGATTCTTATCGCTTCTAGCCCACACTAGGTTCCAAAAGCCCCCTTTTTCCTCCAACAAATAGTTCTCTGGAAGTCACATCTCTCAACTTTTGTTTGAAAAAGGTTGTTCACTTTGCAGAGAGCCCTAAAGAACCTTAAGTAGACGAATTAGGGTTTGGGAATTGGGGATTTTCGAAACCTGATGAATTGGGACTAGGGTTTTTGAAACTTGGTCCAATTTTGAAATTCAAAACACATATCTGACTGAAATAATCGATTATCT